TATAAATGAACTTTTCTATTTAACCCTATTTTCATTCTATTATAAAATTTAACATGTTATTTTGATTTTTAAGAATCAATTCATCATCATGTGTTCATTTAATTTGAATACTTGATTAAGTGGGCCTTAATCTAAAGGTGATGTATTTTCATTGTATATGTACTTTTATTGAACAAAATCCAAAGAAATAGAAAGATCAAAATAAAATAATTTAATCTATTTCCTTTCTAAGACATTGAAAAGGAAATCTTAGTAGACGGAATCAGTATCACGAGAAACAAAAAAAGAAAGAAGCAGAAATTGACATTTTTAGTTACAACATAAACATTTTCTACTAACCAATAAATCATATTCTGAAAGTTTAACTTATTATATGTGATGAATCAATTATTTCATATGAAAATAAAATTAACTAATAAAATTGATTATTATGATTTGGGAAAAATATACAGAGTACTCCAAATTTACAAAAAAAAAATAAGATAGGAGAGAATGTAGCGACATGACAAAATTGAGAAGGCAAAACAAAACGAAAAAGGAACTCAGCTAGTCCAAGAACTAAATTCTTAATGGTAAATAAGACTATTTGTCATGCTTTGATCACGAAAAGTTAATCAATAACTGACCCATTAATTTTAGGGGCAAGCTGATGATAAAATAATGTCAGAGAGGCAAAGCACAAATTACCCTAATTGTGAGGAGTTTTGTGCAATTGAACTTTAAGCGAATAATTTTAGAAAACCGAAAAGAAACAGGCGTGAAAGGAAAGTAGCTTTGCTCCGTTGATTGCTCCTGGGCTGTCTGGTGGGGTTTAAATTGTGATAACTTCTAGAACAACTCACAGATCAACGCCCTCGATTCCGCCTGTGTTTCTGCCACTCTTCACTCAGCCAGCGGTGCATATCCGATCAGGTACTCGCACCGCTTTCTTCTTCTCCGTCAGTTTCTCTGCTCTACTGTTATGATAAATGATGCATCGTTTTTTATGTTTATGTCAAGTATAGCGAACAAGTTCAGTGTAAAATTGAGTTGATGTGCGACTATATTGACAAATTGTGGAATTATGGAATTGAAAATGTGAATCGAAGGCTTTTATTTTTACTTTATTTTTAATTTGAGTGAGAAATTTTGATAGGATAGCTGAATGGTTCAGTGGAAATGAATACATTTGACAAAGTAATTATTCAAGAATTTATGTGAAACATAACATTCAGCTGATAATGGTACAAAATGCTATCATGATATTTGAACGGGCTTGATGTGGATTTAACTTAAAGTCGCTTGGGAGTGATTGAAAGGGTAAAGAGTTCCAAATAGTTGTGCTTGCAGCTTTACTGTACATTTATGTGGATTTAGTTTCTGAGGTGTGCTAACTAGTCTAAAAGGTAAAGGCTGCTTTTTTTTTTTTTTTTTAATCGTGGACATTGTTTTGGGCTATCACCAAATTTATTTTTAGGGCTATTACAAAATTGCTCTAAATAGAAGAATTAATGTTCTAGCAGGTGTCCTTTAACACTTTAAACCTTATTTATATGATTCAGAAGAAACCTACTAGAAGGATTAGTGGATTTATTTATAATAAATAAAAACAGGAATGATTTGTCAATCATGCAAAGGGACAATTCAATGGCTGAAACTTGAGGTGACATCAATTGATGCGCATATTAAGAACAAAAGAAGAGGGAGAGGTGGAAAAGTATGATGTCAACTTTGACATGTTTGGAAACTTAGATTGGAGGATTTTTACCCTTGTTTTTGAGAGAATTTATGGGGAGATTTTTGTTTTGGAAGCACTTAAATTTCATAGAAAATTATGCTTAGCTATTCAGCACAAGTTTAATGATATTGTCATGCAGTGAACCCAAGTCAGGGCTGCAAAAAAGGAAAAAAAAAAAAAGGTTGGAAACTTTAGCTTTTGGCATCTTCCAAAACAATTTTGACACAATTCCTGTCCTGGTTTTCTTCTGCAATTTTTTGGAAAATGGAGTTCTTTCAGAGTCAAATGAGCAATTTTGAGAACAAACTTAAAATACACTGTTTACTCTCGCAGTCTAACGTCTTTCATTCAAGTAAACCAGAGAGGACAAGTTACCCAAGAATGTCAGATTTAGAGAGGGCAAAGAAAGAGAGAGATAGAGAGAATGAGAGTTGAGGATTGCCAAAAACACTTGAATGAAACACTTCTGTTGACTTACCTTTTCCATGTAGTCATTACTTCTCCTCACTAGAGGAGAAATGGAAGGACAACATGATGAGGTCTGGGCTTCATTAGTGGCAGGATGGAATTTCCTAGGTGAGAAACTGATTTATGTCAAGATTAATCGCATATGAATGGGGCTGTAGAATGTTGGCTTAGAACCTCATCAGATGTGAACCAATGAAGTTTGTAAATGACCTCATAATGTTGTCCTTCCATCTTGTTTGTGATTTTAAGCTTTCATGCACATTCTGCATTATGAGGCTTTTGCAATTCTAGAAAATGAATCATGTCTTTTGCCCCTTAATACAAAATTGTTTTGCAATTTGTCTGCCTTTGCGAGAGAAGGGAACTTACTTTATGTTGGTTTCATGCTTTTACTCCTTGGTGGCATCTTGCATCTGAATTTTTTGTAAGACAGTTGTCTGAAATGGTTCCCCTCCCCCTGTCCCCAAAAGGGAAAAAGAAACAGAAGCCCTTCCATCACAAAAAACCATTTAAGGGCTGTGGGTACCATCAATTTTGTAACTGATGTAATTGTCAGTTTTGGCACAGATCATGAGACCAACAATGTTCATGCATACGCTTGCAGTGAATCAAAGTATATTCCTCTCATCTCTTTTTTGCCTGATAAGCTGGATTGGTGGTTTTCATTGTACTGTAGGAAAACGTATTGCAACCTGTGGAATTTGGCAAAGAAGCTCATTTTTTAGTTCTCTATCAAGGAGAAAGTTTATTATGCTTTCAAAGCAGATCCAACTGCAGGTACGTGATCTTTATAGGTGTGCTTTTGCATGAGAGACTCATTTAATCACTCCAATGTCTGCTTATTCTTATTGGGAAATAAAGTATTTTTCGGGAATGGTCTAGCACAGCATCTGCAATAGTAGTCTGTGTTAAAAAGAATATATTTTGTTATCACAATTTTGTTATAGTAGAGGAAGGATGACATTTTGGCCTTAAAAAAAGGAACAGAAAAGGAAAAGAATGGAATAATTGTGATCTTGACCATCGTGAACAGTTCTGTTGTTTATCAATGTTTAAAAAAGTGTTGTCTTTTCTGTGTCCTGTTCTTATCAGGTATTTCTGAGACTGCATATTTTCCCTCTTCATTAGCTTTATGTATTAATGACTGGATGTCATCATTGATTTTCTCTTTGCAGGCAGATTTTGCTGCTACAACTTTTTCTTAGGTGAAGAGTTCTTGAATTTAGTTCCTGTTGGAGATAGATATGCAACCCACAGGTGGTAAAGATACCCAACTTCGTGATAACAATAGCCAGAAGGTCCATCCACAACCCATGGAAGAGGCCATAAATCAAAATCCTGAAGCATTGGAAGCACTAATTTCTAGGATTTTTACAAACATTTCCTCCCTGAAGTCGGCCTACATTCAGCTTCAAACTGCTCATACTCCCTATGACCCCGATAAAATTCAAGCTGCTGATAAACTTGTGATTTCAGAGCTGAAGAATCTCTCTGAACTCAAGCACTTTTATAGGGAGCATAATCCAAAACCTGTTTGTGTCTCTCCACAGGACTCTCGCTTGGCCGCAGAGATCCAGGAGCAGCAGAGTCTATTGAAAACTTATGAGGTTATGGTGAAGAAGTTTCAGTCTGAAATTCAGAATAAGGACTCTGAAATAAATCAATTGCAGCAGCAGATCCAGGAGGCAAATCAGAAGCGAGTAAAACTGGAAAAGAATCTCAAGCTGAGAGGCTTGTCAGCCAAAGAATCAGAAGGCTCAGGTGATGAAAATGGTGTCTTTTCTATGGATTTGACCCCTGACCTTATCAAGTCAGCTGTGGAAGCTGCTTATAAAGCCATTCATGATTTCTCTAAGCCGCTAATCAACATGATGAAAGCTGCTGGGTGGGATCTTGATGCAGCTGCAAATTCCTTAGAGCCTGATGTTGTTTATGCTAAGAGAGCTCACAAAAAATATGCATTTGAAGCCCATATTTGCCAACGAATGTTCAGTGGTTTTCAGGAAGAAAGCTTTTCTCTGAAACTTGACAATGTGACCATGGATAAAGGAAGTTTTTTCAACCAATATCTTGCCTTACGTGATATGGATCCTCTGGATGCTGTTGGGCAAAGCCCAGATTCCCCTTTTGGAAAGTTTTGTCGGAGCAAGTACCTGGTGGTGGTTCATCCAAAGATGGAGGCTTCATTTTTTGGCAACCTGGATCAGCGAAACTATGTGATGGGTGGTGGTCATCCAAGGACACCTTTCTACCAGGCATTCTTGAAACTAGCCAAGTCTATCTGGCTTTTACATAGATTAGCAAATTCCTTTGACCCTATGGTTAAGGTTTTCCAGGTCAAGAAGGGGAGTGAGTTCTCTGAAGTGTATATGGATAGTGTAGTGAAAAATTTTGTTATTGAAGACGCTGACCAAAAGCCTAGGGTTGGTTTAATGGTTATGCCAGGATTTTGGATTGGAGGCAGTGTGATACAGAGCCAAGTCTACTTAACAGGTGTGATGGTTGCAGAATGACTTTTGTTTGTACCAGTTGGAGTTCTGTCAAAACCTGCATGTATGTGCTGTGTTAATTTCTGTGTTATTTCTGTATTTGGTAAAATGTTTCTGTTGTATTATCTGCATTTGCTAAGTTGATATGATATGTGATTGAAGTTACTATATTGATATGAGGTGTATTTTGGTCTTCTGCCATTTTCTGATTTGACGGCGACTCTTTTTCACACACACGCACAACAAGAGAGAGGCTATTTACCTTCTGAGCGTTGGCAGTTAGTTTTGTGCTTGATGTGGAGTTTCCATTCCTAACTGGTAGTATTATGCAGAAAATTCGTGAGCATGCATTTTCCTTCTCAGATGTTTTAGACTTTAGAGAGCTTATCAACTTGAAGTAGCTGACAAGGTAAACTTTGCCATGACATGAAGAATTAGCATTCTTAGCTAGTGAGGTTATACGGACACAATCCTATTCCCATGCTCTGAATGTTCTTTTCCTGTTGAAGAATTGCTACCACATGAATAGGTAAACTGATTATTTTTCAATGCTCGAGTTTGATGCATGCTATGTCGATAGTTCCTTAAATCTTTTAAAACTACTGCAACAGCTATGCTGTTAATATACTCCGTCTCACTGCATGCGTGGGTGATTCCTGTGAAATTTGATCCAATTGAGCCTTCTGAGAAGAGCCTCATCAAATTATTCAGCTGTATATTGTTTCAGAATTGGTACGATTAATCTCTCTGGTGTAACTGCATGAGACCCACCGTGTGCACCTAAACTATGATTTTAAAGCATGGGATCTGTTTCCCCAGATATTTCTGAAAAAAGGGGTGAAGAAAATTGATGAATTGTCTTGTTGGGAGGGATCTTGTTGCCAATCAAGAGTCAGAAGCGAACGTCCTCTGTCAAACTCTCTAGAAGAACAGAATTGCAAAAGTTTCTTATTTCGATTTTTAGGCTACAAGAAATTATTGACCTAGTGCAAGATGCGCTATGCATGGACCATGGTGTGTGCTGCTCACAGTTTTGAGCACATGCTACAAAAGAGGGTCATTAATTATAAAACCTCTAATTTGGACGGGTTGAAAAAACTCCCTTTGATTACATCCAAATCAAGCATGAAAGCTCTTTTTTAACAGCTGACAATTCACGAAAAGAATTGGAAGCAAAGTTATGTAGGGCACTAAAATTTGAGTGAACATATTATCCTTAAATTAATCCTACCTTGAACCCTTTTTTTGGTTTGATTTTTCTGAGCAAATCGTTCTTTGAACTTATATGGCAGTCATATTAGAATAAGAGAGTCGCAAATTTACTGTTATATGTAAGCTATGAGTTTATTTTGAACGTCAGTTAGAATGAGTTTATGGTACAAAAGAAAATGTACCACAAGGGGAAAATTAAGTCAGGAACAAAGATTATTGGGATTTCTTGGGATTGAGAACTTGAAACTTTACGCTAACAATAATATCTTCTATTGCTCAAGGGCCAGTTAAGGGACTTGATTTAAAATGATTGGCAGCTGCAAGCTGAAGCCACTGGCCAAATAATCACACCAAAGCCAGCAAGATGTTTATCAAGTAAAGCTCTCTTCCTGTGATATTCCTGGCGCCGACAACTTGCCGCAGGCATCGATGGCGCTGCTTAGCATTCATTCTTGGTCAAACCAAACCATAGGCGTTCAAACAATAATATAATCTATAGCTAACGCCATCGTTTTAAGATCACTGGGAGAATTAATTAATTAATTTCAATGACATCTACAGCAACGGATATGCACTACAGCTGTTGAGTCACAATTAATGTTAAATTGAGTACAGACAAAATAAATGCAGGAATTAATTGAACATTTGAGATCTCAGAATTTAGAGATTTTGGATTTGAATCGCATCTCCTTTCTTCATTTTTTTAATTCCACTCCTTTCCTGCTAAAAAAAAAAGAAATTAATTGAATATCAGTATCATTTCTTTTGAAGCCGATAAACTACCATGTAACTTTTGATTCTTTTATCTTAAATGAATTTTTTCATCCCTTATATTAATATTGCATTTATCTTGTGTATACATACACACATACATAAGTACGTACCGATTAAAATTTTTTCGATAAAACTTTAAAAAAATTTTCTAGCTAGGTGAACTTAGAGTATAAATGCCTATTCTAACGCTAGGACATGCATGGATGTGCACGTGAATCCTAACGACAATCTTGCCAGGCATGACCTATTTGGTCCATTCGATCAAGATAAGCATCAATTTCAAACAGATCAGATTGCTTAGTTACCAGTGTACTTGTACTTAAATCATGGTTTCTGCTGCTGCTGGAGCCCTATTCTCATCAGCTTCCTGGAAGCTCCTCGCGCATGTGCAAGGACCGGATATTTAAAACCCCAAACGTAAAGAAAATAGTGTAGTAAACTTTAAGCTATGACTACACGAGGATGACTTGTGAGACTTCTATATAAATTCTCAAGTCTTCTCACATTTTCCCATCACGAAAACCATCGAATCAAATCGTGCTGGATTTTTTTTTTTTTTTTTTTAAAAACATGGCAAAAATTAGCTTCTCTTTCCTTCTTCTCCTCTCTGCTATCTCCATTGCAGCTGCAATCGAGCTGACTTCAAATCGAGGCTCTGGTTTCAGGGCTTTCATCGAGCAAGAATGCCGAGGCACCCAATATTTCCAGCTATGCGTTCATTGCCTTTCAATTTTTGCGCATTCCACTACACAAACACCAGAGCAATTAGCCCAAGTTGCATTGAAGGTGAGCTTGGTGAGGGCAAGATATGCAAGAGCTTATATAACCAAAGTTGCTCAAGATTTGAGGCTAAAGAAGACCAAAGATTACCAAGCCGTGCATGATTGCCTAGAGCAAATCAATGATGGTGTGGATCAGCTCACGAATTCGGTTAAGGAGTTGGGAAGAATGTCTATAGCTACTGAAACTGATTTCTTTTGGCATCAAAGCAACGTTAATAGCTGGATGAGCACTGCAGTCACAGAAGCACTAACGTGCATGGATGGGATCTCAGGGCATGCAATGGGAAGTAAAGTGAAATCTACCATTAGAGCGAAGGTCTTGAACGTGGCACAGGTTACTACCAATGCTCTAGATTTTTTTAACCGATATGTGTCAAGACATCGAGCCTCTCAATCTCATAACCCCAATCCCTGAGTATAGAAACTCCCCCCCAATTTTTTTTTTTGGGTTTTGTATTTTAACTCAGATACGTGTAAGGTGAAAGACATCTGTGAATACCAAATTTTGTACAAGAAATGGAATTATAGAGGTTCTATTTTTTCTTGTAATTGATTAAGGGAATTCTACTTAATTATTTTACATCTTCGTGTCATCATGTTCTTTAGAACTTTTATTATAAGTGGTATTAGAAAATTATCCTTCGAGGTTTCTTTTTCTTCCAATTTGGAGGTAACAGTCTCAACTCGACAAAGCCTTAATAGTTTATGATGGCAACACAATTTACTGCTAAACTTATATGTGGAGTTGAATTGGATCAAAGGAATCAATTGAACCAGTCAATTATTCGTACTATTTTCCTGTCCACGTGATTACCGAAACTAACTACGAAATTCAAGTGAATTTGAGACTGTTGTCAAAGATGTTTGCGAAGGAAACTTAGATCAGCAGCAGATGGTTATGAAAGCTGCAATTTCTTAATTCACCTTTTTATAATTTCGAAACTGTAAAAGATCAAAAAATTAAAGTTAAGCTTTGTAAATTCACACTGATACTGGAAGCATGCCTGCTTAGTGCGTGAAGGCGAAAACTGAGAAGACCACTCAATAGTTTGATGCCACATTTAGATTCCGTTTGTTTGGTTTCAGATCATGAAAGGGAGTTGCATAGTCTAGCTACAAGAACAATATTAATCGAGAGACTTCCATATGAGACGCATAAATTCCTGGTGCCCTTCGCACCCTATCAGGTTACGAGTTACGACACCAATATTTCTCTCTTTTCCACCCCACCCCTTTCCTCGAAGGCGAATCATCATGTTTCCTGATAGTGTTTTACATGCTTGTTCATAAATAATAATGCGCATGCAAACGATATTTTGATTTGAAAGAAGTCATCATCAGATCATTTCTCTTCTCCCATCATTCTTACCCTCCTTTTTTTTTTCTCATAGTCCGTGGAGCTTAGTCTTCGTACCACTGGCTGAAGGTACCGACAACCAATACAGCTAGGTTATAGTCAACCGCAAAAAATTCAATCTTTTGAATACAAACCTCATTATCTGGGGCTTATGCCGATCACATGAGTAGGATTTTCACTGCCTTATTCATCATGTTCATTACTACCTTAGTTGGGGCCGTTCCCCATAGAGAGGTGATGTATATCATGGTTTTTCTGGATCATCGTCAAGCCATCATGGCTTGAAATCTCTCCAAAACATGTGCTCTCTAGACAGTTAGTCTTGGTGGAAAGCTGTTGGTGAAGAGGTGAATTTTGTACCGTTGGAGTGAACCTTCTGGTTACTCTGGGTGGTCCACTGGGACGAGGTCACCTGCTTAGATCACAAGAGGGGCTGAATCCCCCGGTAGAACTCCGAAACTTAAGTCAGTTCGGGAGTGAGAGAATAGCTAAATAGAAGAGAGTATCAGTGTGGTTTTACCAGAAGATTGGTCATCATCCCCTTCTTAGTAGATACACTGGGTATTTATAGGGGATGCGTTGGGAAGAGGGACTGGCATCACGGGTCCCTAAAGATCTGAGATAGTCAGTGCATCTGGTGGATTTGACTGCTCTTTACGAAAAGGCTCGATGGGACACTTGCCAGTTTCAGACGGCGTGTGTCAGAGCAGCTGTCCATCAGATGTCAGGCGTATCAGGTGTCATTTCCTATCTTTCGTAGGCGTTCATCAATCAGGTGTCACCTCGGCTAATGACCTGAGGGTTTAAGCCGAGGTGGTACACAGGTTACGATGTCCTCGATAAGCAAGGTGCCGAGGAGGCACCTCGGGAGGTATCAGAGTACAAGGCCTCGGATTATCTGGCCGAAACGACCATCCTCACCAAGCCCCCCAAGCTTCGAGAAGGGCGAGGTCGTGGTTTCCCGAGGTCGTTCCTTCTCGAGGCTGATGAGCGTGTAGAACACGCAACACAGTAAGGACACGTCAGGACTGTATGGATGGGACTAATAGAAGGGTGAAACGATGGCTGTCAGTTTTGACGTCGGATTTGTAAAATCAACCGTCAGATGAACAGTATCTTCATTAATGAGGAGAGAGAATGGGTGCCCTAGGGAATCCCAGAGGTGTCATCTCTTCGGTTTCCCCCAGTTGCCTATAAATAGGGGCCCTTTTTACCATTTCATTCTTCACCAAAAATTGTAAATCACCTCAGAGCTCTGTTCCTGCACTTTTTCACTTCGGCAGTTTTCCAAACAGTTTCTTCAAAGTAAGTTCACTTCTTTCTTCTTCGTAACAATGGCCAGAACGGCCCGCACACACAAGGAAACGGTGAGGCTTGACTTTACCGAAGCAGAGAGGCCTGACCCCTCCGAGGAGAGAACACGCAACACAGTAAGGACACGTCAGGACTGTATGGATGGGACTAATAGAAGGGTGAAACGATGGCTATCAGTTTTGACGTCGGATTTGTAAAATCAACCGTCAGATGAACAGTATCTTCATTAATGAGGAGAGAGAATGGGTGCCCTAGGGAATCCCAGAGGTGTCATCTCTTCGGTTTCCCCCAGTTGCCTATAAATAGGGGCCCTTTTTACCGTTTCATTCTTCACCAAAAATTGTAAATCACCTCAGAGCTCTGTTCCTGCACTTTTTCACTTCGGCAGTTTTCCAAACAGTTTCTTCAAAGTAAGTTCACTTCTTTCTTCTTCGTAACAATGGCCAGAACGGCCCGCACACACAAGGAAACGGTGAGGCCTGACTTTACCGAGGCAGAGAGGCCTGACCCCTCCGAGGAGAGAACTGCTTCTGACGTCGGGGAAGGAGGTGCTGAGGCGTCTCACCAAGTCGGGGCAGCTCAAGGGCAGCAGATGCCGAGGCGGAGCAGCACGAGGAGATCGAGATCCAACCCGAGGTCCTATATAACGATGACCTCGGGAATGAGGTCTCTAGGGACGCAGGCGTGCAAGAACCATCCACTCCTCCGAACGTGTTGACGCTTAACTACGGCCAGATGCCGGCCTTTAGCAGCAGCATGGGGCGAGACTCCGTCGTCGAGGTGGTCCGCAAGTATCCCTGGAGGAAGGACTACAGCCTTTATGTACCCGAGCCGCACCAATCCGCCGCACTGCCTCCGAAGGGTAGGGTGGCAATCTACGTAGAACAGCTGGAGGCCGGGCTCAGGGTGCCCACGACAAGATTCCTCCGGGACTGCCTGAGGTACTGGGGAGTGAGAATCACTCAGCTCGCTCCGAATGCCATTCGCGTCCTCGTCGGCTTCCAGCTGCTTTGCCGACATCAGGAGATAGAGCCCACTGTCAACCTCTTCCGCCGTTGCTACTCGCTCAAAAACAGCGAGAGTGAGAAGGGCTGGTTCTACTTCGGGAACAAAGTTCCCAAATTAGTAGTGGACGCTCCGAGCTCGATAAAGGAGTGGAAACAAAATTTCTTCTTCGTCCCTTCTGAGGACTTCCCCCGGGGGTTCTGGTGGAGGCCTCCCACCCCGGTTAAAGAGACGTCCCCGGGCAAGTTAGAGGAGCGCAACCTCCAAAAGTTAACGGGGTCGGGCCTCAGAATTAACTGTTGGGATTTTCCCGAAGTGGTGCTCTTGGAAGGCGGCCTCAGCCGAGCCTTGATCAGCTCGGATCACCCCGTCCTCATTTCTACTAGGCTGAAAAGACCTTGTACTTTTCCGTTTCCCTTCTTTATTTATCCATCTTGAGTTCTAACTAACTCTCTTTCACTTGTTGCAGTGACGAAGATTTTCGACCTGATAACCTCGGGAGATGTCGAGGTAGCAAAGAGGGCACCCAAGAAGCGCAAGAATGCTGCTGAGCCCTCTACAAGGCCAACTAAGAAGACCACCACGGCGACGGGCAGCCGCGAGCCTGCCGTGGTGATCGTAGGCGAAGGCTTACACACCTCGGCCACGCCAGGAAAGTCCAAAGCCTCCGCCATCCCGATAGGGGTTCCTATCCGAGGTGTGACAATAGCCACTCCACCTCGGGGTCAAGGCGTGACCGTGATCCCGGAGAAACCTGTCACGGGGTCATCGTTGTTCAACCTCCATCACGTACCCTCGAAGGAGGCCGGGGATGACAAGAGGCACTCCTGGGCGCACTGGTGTCCGGAGTGGGAAATCAACGTCAACGACCGCTGTAAAAACCCCTTGGTGGTGCATGAGCTTCTGGTGCATTCCGTGCTGCCTCGGCACAACACCTACGCGAGGAAGCTCACTCCTGCCGAGCTGATGCAGAGCGCCTCGGTCTCCTAGGCCTCCACCACGACCTTCTTTGCTGAGATGCTCCAACGTTACGGGCATTTACTGCAGAATTACGAGCCACCTGCTGAGCTTCAGAAGAGGATTGCCGATCTAGAAGAGAAGCTAAGGGCAACTGAGCTGGAGCGAGACAAGGCCGAGGCGGAAAGGAAGAAGACCGAAGTCGCGAACAACTCCCTGATAACTGCCCTTGATGAAAAGAGAGGGAGAAGGGCCCAAGAAGAACAGTCGACCAAGGCGGCAATAGACAAAGCCGGGGTCACTGCCGTGGAGGCATTTCGGAAGTCAGAATCATTTACACGTGACCTCGGCGAGCTCACTCGGCCGAGTTTCATGTTCGGCTATACGTCTGCCATTAACGAGGCAGCGTCCTTTCTTTCTTCTGAGCAACTAGAGTCTCTTCAAGGTGCTCAACACTACAACGAGGATGCCAAGGAACTGTGCGACCGCATGGCTGAGAGCATCCAAGATGGGAGAGACCTAGCCGAGGTCCGTGCTGAGTTCAACAAATGGCTCCAAGAATTTGACTTAAATGGTGAGGGCAGTGAAGGGGACCAGGCCGGCGGAGGAGGTGAAGGACAACAGGACGCCGAGGCGGGCGGAGAGACCATGGGGGAACAGGACCCCGGGGCAGGGGCTGTTTAGAAGCACTTGTTTTTGTAATAGAGGGCCGAGGTCAGAAATAACCATGACCTTTCACTTTTGTAACTAGGGGCCGAGGTCATGGATATTACTTCTCGCACTTCAATAAAGTTGACTTTGTTCTTGCATATTT